AGCTCGCTCAAGGGTTTGAGCTCTGAGCAACAGCGGTTCGAGTCCAGCCTGAGCTGAGCTGCCGCTGAGCTGCATGGCCCGAGCTGAGCTGCCACTGAACTGTATGGCTCAGCTAAAAAAAAAAAAAAAAAAAAAAAAAAAAAAAAAAAAAAAAAAAAAAAAAAAAAAAAAAAAAAAAAAAAAAGAACTGGCTTGGGACGCTAGAGGGCCCTGGTTTGGATCCCACATATGAGGGCCAGTGACACTGCCCTCCACAGCTAAGATGCTGAATAACAGCTCAACCTGGAGCTGGGCTGCAGTGAGTCACCACGAAGGCGTAGGCTGTAGCCCCTGTGGCAGTGGGTTGCCATGGGCTAACGTGTGTAGTCAGCAGCCAGCGTGAGTGGCCCTCAAGCCGCTGTGGGCGGCCGTCCAGAGGCTGGCGACTGATGTGCCTCGCCCGGGAAGAGCGCAATGATGGTGTCAACTTGGGCTAGTGAAGCAACGTCCTCCACAACTAGATTGAAGAACAAAAGGACAGCAACTTGTCTGTTCTCCTTCCCCCAATTTCCCAGCATTGTTCCCATCCCCCCAATTCCCCAATAAAAATCTTAAAAAAAAAGAAAAGCTATGAATAACCTGAATAGCCTTCTATATGTTAAAAATATATAATTTGTAGTTAATAACTGTCCCACAAAGAAAAGTCCAGGTCCAGATGATTTCAGTGGTGAATTTTACCAAACATTTAAGGAAGAAGGAATACCAATCCTACACAATATCTTTCAGAATATAGGAGACGGGAATGCTTTCTTATTTGTTTTATGAGGCCAGCATTATGCTAATGTCAAAACCAGAAAAAGCTCAAAAAAGGACAACTACATACCTCATGAACAGACAGAAGTATCCTCAGCTAAATATTTGCAAATTACACACAGAGGATAATATATCACAACCAAGTGAAGATTATCCCAGGAGTTCAAGGCTCATTCAACATGCAAAAATCAATCAGAATAATTCACCAGAGTAACAGACAAAAAAAGGAATAACCATATTATTATTTTGATAGGTGTAGGAAAGGTATTTAACAAAATGCAATTCATGATAAAAAATCTCAGCAAACTAGCAATACAAGGGAACTTCCAAAACCTTATAAAAGGCAACCAAAAAAAAGCCTCAGCAAACATTTAAAAGGTGAAAGACTGGATGCTTTCCCCCTAAAATCAGAATAAAGTCAAGAATGTCTGTCCACTCCCATCATTTGTATGTAACATGGACAGTACCACAGGTTCTAACCATACACAAGGCTACTAGAATTAATGAGTTTAGCAAGGTTGCAGAATACAAGGTTAAATTAAAAAAATCAATTGATAAACTAATTCTAAAACGGATATGAAAAGGCAAATGACCTAGAATAGTCAAAACTCTGAAAAGTAAAACTAAGCTGGAGGGCTAAAACTACCTGATTTCAAGATTTATTATAAGGCTATTGTAATCAGGACAGCATGGTGTTTACATAAAGATGAACGAAGAGATCGATGGAACAGACTAGAGAATACAGAGATAGACCTACATTACTATGCTCAATTGATTTTTAACAAAGTTGCAAAAGTAATTCAATGGAGTAAACAGTGTAGTCAATAAATGATACTAGAACAAATGGAATCAGTTTGCAAGAAAATCAACCACAACACATACCTCAACACCTTTTACAAAATTTAAGTCAAACAGATCATTGATCTAAATATAAAATGTAAAATTATAACTTTTAGGAAAAAAACACAGGAATAAATCTTCAGGATCTGGGTCTAAGCAAAGAGTTCTTAGATTTGACACTAAAAGCATGATTCATTAAAGAAAAATTGATAAACATGACTTAATCAAAAAATTAAATCTTTGTTCTACAAAAGATACAGTAAAGAGAATGAAAAAACAAACTGTAGACAGCTAGAAAATACTTGCAAATTATATATCTGACAAAGAACTTGTATGCAAACGTAAAAACAGTACCTGGTTCTCAGTCTTGCTTTGAAGACTAAATAAGATAATACAATAAAGTCCATAGCATAGTGCCTGGCACATACAACCCTTCATTAAATTTTGATTATTATAATTTTATTACCATTGTTGTTACAGTATTCTTTAAAATTGAGAAAATAAAGCAACACAAATGTTCATCAATAGAGAAATTGTTAAATTATGTTACATCTATTGCAAGGAATATTAGGCAATAGTTTAAAGGAAGGAAGTATATCTATATGCACTAACCTGGAAAGATGTCCAGGATTGTTGTGAAAAAGAAAATTGCAGGACAGTTTGTATAGTATGATCTTACTTGTGCAAGAAGAAAATTATACTTTTGTAGAAACTTTTCTAGGATGATACCAAACTGCTGACAGTTGTTATCCCCAGGGAGGGGAATGGAATAAGGAGGGGTACACAGGAAGGGTAGGATGTGGGGGAAAATTAAAAAGGGTCTCTCCCTTTTATTCTATTTCTAGATTTTTTTAATTTTTACAAGAATGTTTTCCTACATTATTTGTGAAACAAAAAATGCAATGGAAAAGAGTCAACTATCTTTTAAAAGAACATGATAATAACTTTTGGCTCATGGAGTCAAGAAGATGAAGCACGAGCTTACTTTGGACTGAAAGATTTACCTAAAAAGAGAACCAGCTCCCATCTGTAATTTAACAAACATTAACAGGTGCTGCTTGTTGGCCTGGCAGCGCAAAGAACTTAAGTTATTGCCCTGGTTGTGTGACAAACTAGCTTTGTTATACTATTGTTATGAATTTTAGACTGTGGAGTTTTTGAGGACAGTGTCAAGTCTTTTTTTTTCTGCCTCTCTAGTCCGTGAGACAGGGCCTGGTTCAGAGTTGGCGCTCAATTAAAGGGACGACAAGACAAGATCTTAATTAAAGGTGGCTGTGAATAATAGTGCGGTCCGTGCCCTGTTGAACTGGCACAGGATCGCCATCTAGCGGCAACAAGGGATTCCTGCACAAGTTAGAAGAGAAACCCGACTTTTTGAGGTGTTCCAAGGACCCACCTTTCAACAAACAGCATTGACAAAAACTATGACCCTAATGAGAAAAAGTTACCAATCGTGGGCTAAAAGGTCAAAGTTTATGGCTTGGAGTGTTAATAAGATTACATCTAGGTACTCTAGTGTCTGAAGTCTCCTCCATCACCACCCCACCATCACAATGCCCCCCAACACATGTAAGCTGTGCAAAGTCCTCACGTGCAATACCTCCATTGCACCCAAAAGAATGAAGCACGCATGATAATAGAGACGTACACTTATGCCTTCCTAAAGCTGCTGAAATACTAATAAACTTTCCTAAGCCAGACTGGTCAGGACAAGATACAAAACAGGACTAGGAAAAAAATCTTCCATAAACTTTGCTCTCCAGGTTCACCATCTCTCTGAATCACCTACCGGAAAATGAGCACCACTCTGAAAATAATCTAGTGAACCTTTAAAATGTCTCACATTCCAAAGGGCAACAAGGAAGCCCACCTTGAGCTTGCCTTCTAAGTATCACTCTGTGACAAACCCTCAACCTGCCCACCAAGGTTACCGGGCGCAGGTTTTCTTCTCTCGCCTCTCTGAGTACTAATGAGTCTTCAACGCAGCTTCAGTGTGTGTTAGGGAAACAGCTGTGTGACTCAGAGGCTGAGAAATATCATACCTTGTTTATGGACACGTGGTCTCAAAAAGAATGATGAAGGGACACATTGGTAGTTAATCTAAAAAAACTCCATATGTATTTACATGCAAAGTAGAACAACATTCCTGTAAAATGTTGCTCAGCATAACAAACAACAGAAAACTTCTCAAAGATTCTTAAGAGAGTGACCTTGGGGAAAGGGCCCCTGTGCAGTTTTATGTTCAGGAAAGGCTGCTATCGCACATTCTGCAAGTGTACATACATGCTTCAAGTTTTCTTCTAATCCCACCTCCTCCACTTCCACACAGTACGTGCCTCATAAATATGGAAACAAAAACAGTGGTGAAATTTGGCTGCAATGCGGACATCAGTTTGGGAGCATGCCATACACAAGAGGTTTGTGGGTGGGCTGCTGTGGAGCAGAGCAGACAGGAGTGTTTACTGCTAGCACTCTGTGCTGGAGTTGCAAAGAAATTGGGAATTATGAACAAGATGGATCCATCAAGCTACTCCCAGCCTAAAAAAAGCCAGAAGCCCTAATATCTATTTATATGAAACTCCCTGAGGGCTGAAGTGGTTCTGTGTAATGGATGAAGAACACTCAGCGGCAATCAAGTCATGAAGCGGAATGTTTTTAAGACCTTACACTGAGGCGCTGATGGAGATAATGAACGTCTGAGCTGTGGGCAGTGCATTTAAAATGGTAATGGAATGTGTAGGAAGATGTGCTCTTCCGAGTGTCCCTTGTTTCATACCAGCAAAAGCCCATGGTTCCTGCTGGTACTAGAAAAAAAGCGAGGTGTCAGCAAAAGAAAAAAACTGAAAAGAGACAGCATGAGAAACGAGTTGCACTCTGTGGAAGGTTCCAGATAAAAGTGTCCGACGACAGCTACAGGAGAATACACTCCTTATAGTCCAAGGGGAATGCAGGCCCCGTTCCGCTATGCTTCTCCCTACCCCCTGCCCTGTCTTCCTCGCTGGGCAATAGGACTCAGAGCCACTCCTGGCCAGAGACAGGGCACTCTTTCGAGCTATCTCCCTGACCGCTCCTGCACCGAGACTGGAGACTGGCAATCAGCCCCAAACCGCCTTCCTCTTCTAGGGTCAGCAGCGGTCTGGAGCCACCGAGCCAAAGGGGTAATAGTCAACTGGCCCCTTCCCGGTGCTGGGCTCCGTAGCGACACTGGCTCGACGTGCGATTTCGCTTTCGTTCGATCGGCCTTGCCTGCAGCCCCGAGCGCTGGGAGCTGCTGCGTTTGGGGCACCCAGAGCCCCTGGGCTCCAGGCGGCCACCCCGTGGGAAGGGACCCGAGGACGAGAGGCCGGGCGGGCGGCGCCCCTACTCACGTAGCGCTGCAGTTTCCTCTCGGGGGGCGACTTGACGAGCCAGCCCATGCACACAGCGTCGCCCGAGCTCATCGTGGCCGCCGCTTCCTCCAGCTGGGTCGTCAGCCCGCTGCAGGAGGAAGTCTGGCTAGGGATGTCGACGGGGCGGATCCAGCTCCCGCCCGCCCAGCGCCGCCCCGAGCGGCCGCCGCGACCCCCACCTCCGGCCGCTGCGGCACCCCGGGAGGGGTCGGACGCCACCCCCCACAGCGCGAGACTCTGGGGGAAGCAGGCAGCGCAGTCCAGGGAAGCCCCTTCGAGCAAGTGCAGAGCCGAGTGGCCGGTAGCCGGGGCCACGAGAGAGCGCACGGAAGGAGCTCCGAGATCTAAGGAGAGCGCAGGAGTGACCTGTCCTTCGTTGCTCTCACCATCCGTGACCGGTCACGTCAAAAGGGCTGGTCCCAGAGTCGAACCCTATTACTCGAACCTGCCTTGTATATAGTTAGGCAGGAAGAAAACCATTGACTCCTCCTTGACTTCCCTGTTCCACTTGATTGTTTGCAGATTAACTGTCCTCAGGCCCTCCGAAAGATTTGCCACCTCAAAATAGGCCTTTTGGGATGTTGATTTTAAGCTGATTACTAAGAAACAAGAGATTCAGAAAGAACCTTTGACACTCCCTCCCTCCCCCCTTTCCTGTCTAAGGGATTCAGATGGAAAAACCTACTTTAAAAAGCATTCATCAAAACTGGAGGCCAAAAGTTCCATCAATTATTGTATTCATCTCTAGGGGATAGTTATTCCTCTTGTAGTTCAGACACTATCCCACCTCAATATCCTATAACCTCTATTGCCTTTATTTGACATATATAAGATAGAGAAAGAAGATTGGAAACGTTTATATGGAGAGAGATGAGAGAGAGAGAGAGAGAGAGAGAGAGAGGGAGAGAGAGAGAGATGGAGAGAGATGAGAGAGAGAGAGAGAGAGGGAGAGAGAGAGAGATGGAGAGAGATGAGAGAGAGAGAGAGATAGAGAGAGATGAGAGAGAGAGAGAGAGAGAGAGAGAGAGACTAAAATTTCGTTAAAAAGTCTTGAGACCATAATTGGTCTTTACAACCTGCTTCTAGTACCCTCCCTGTCCTCCCATTTCTGTCTAGCCAGCACCTCAGCTGGTCAGAATTTTCCACCTGGTGAAGGACCCAAACCTGATTCCCACAGAGTTTGAATCCTCAGTGGTGCTGCCTGGGCATAGCAGTAGGAAGTATCCCAGAAGATCCTTTGGATTCAAGACATGCTCCTTCCAATCCTGTTGCTTAACAGCAACCCCATTTCCATTCAATAATGAACATCAACCATCCAAGCCAGCTCAGTAGACCCGTGGTTTGCCTGTTGGTTCAATGGCATAAAGAGCCCTAACTGGCCCCAGATGGCAATTTCAACTTGCAATTTGATGAGACCAATGTTGTGGCTCTGGTGGAAGCAGTCATACCTTGAAAATAAGCAGAATTTAGAGCTGTGGGGATGGGAAGAAACACCTTGACAGTGGGTTATTAGGCGTGATAATGAGAAAAGTCACTTCCACTTCCATCTTTTAATTCCTGGACCCAAAAATTCTGGCTATGGAGAAATAGCACCATACAAAGGTCACCAGTTCAAAGTATTTACCTCATCCTGTAAGACAGAACTTCCACCTTTCAGTGTATTTTCATCTGACTCGTGCAGTAACTGAACTCTTCAATAGACCAACCATCCCACTGTTACTGGAGAATGAGAGGGTCCTTGGTAAACGTCATGGGAAGAAAGTCCAGGACGTACCAAAATATTAATACACGCAAACAAAGTCAAGCAAGCCAAAGATTTACTAAAGAAAGGAAATAGCCCAATATACTCTCAAGATGGCACGACAGCGGGGGGGGGGGCCATGAAAAAGGGGTAACTTCCCCCCAAAACAAAGTTATTTAGGATTACATTTGAATGAAGAGGGCATGAAACACTTGGGTGGTGCTTCAGACATTCCCAGGGCAGTTTCTTGCTGTCGATGATCATTCCTTCCCATTGGGAGGTGGAATTCCCTGGTAGGTATTGTCCTGGCGACACAGGGGGTGGAGATTTTTCCCTGCCTGCAATGCTAATAGCGTTTCAATCCATTACAATTAGCTGTAGCTGCACCTTTTCTTAGGAATGACCTCCTCTCCCCTTTTCTTTGTTTCCCCTGACATCTTCCTTCCTTTCCTCCCCCACTGCCTCCCGGGGACCCTGAGTTTTCTGCCTCGAGTTACACCACTATCCTATCAGGCCAGGTGCTTCAGGGCAATGTGGGATGTGGTGAGACTAGTGCAATCCCTCAGCATGAGCACACTGGCACATGTCTTTTGTCTTGTATTGATTTCCTTGGTCGAAAGCGCTGCTAGGTGAGGTACCGTGAAGGTGAAGAAGGGGCAGTAAGTCTATGGGTGGGAACGCTGGCAGAAATGTGAGTTATAATAATAAGTGCCTATTCAAGCAAGGACAAATTACTGCCCCTTCCAGATAAATGTGCTCTGATTCCATCAATCTGCCACCAGGTGGCTGGCTGGTCCCCCAAGGAATGCTACCTTATTGGGGGCTCACTGTTGGTCTCTGCTGTGGGCAGGTTGAGTACATAAGCAGTGGCAGTGGCTGTGACCATATCAACTGATGCCAGTCCCTGGGAGCCTCACCAGTCATTACTAATTCCCTTAAGCTTGCTCTCACCTCTGTAAAAAAAAAAAACCCTCATTATACTCTCCTCAGTTCAACCCACTGAGTCCACCACTTGCTTCATTCTGAGACCTTGACCAATATACATAGCCATGGAGAACTCCCTATGCGCTTACAGGTGTGAGTTAAAGGAAATGGTGTCCTGCAGCATAAGGCACCACAGCGATATGAGCCACCTGCTTGAGCAACTTTGCTGTACCTCCCAGACCTGCTTGAGTCTGGCCTCAAATATTCCACTGGCAGAGGATGATCCATTAGCACCCAACTTATCAGGGACAGCTAAAATTACATGGTTCCTTGGTGCCCATGGTCAGACATTCAGGCTTTGCCACAGCCCAAGAACAAGTCAGAAATGTTGATCAAAAGGAAAATACTCCTAGGGATCAAATACATGGTGATGGAAGGAGAACCGACTCTGGGTGGTGAACACACAATGTGATATATAGATGAGGTATTACAGAATTGTACACCTGAAACCTATGTAACTTTACTAACAGTTGTCAACCCAATAAACATTAATTTAAAAAAGGAAAATACTTCTTTTGTGATAGAAGGCATGATTTGCTTCAAAACTCTATGGGTCCACTGTATGTTTGTCCTATTGGGACTTGCCACAGACTCCATGTGGCCTCTGGGCGTGTCAAAGGCTCTAGGCGTGTTGGATCTGTGTGATAAAGATCAAGTGTCCTGGACCTGCTGCAGAATCTTCCCTTGCCCTGGGTCCCACTGAAAACATGTACCTTTACAGATTACTTGCTGAATGCATTGGTGTAACACAATTACATGTGGTACATGTTGCCTACAGAATCTGAGGAGCCCCGCCAAATGGCTGTGCCTCTTTCTGAGTGGTATGAGGTGCAAAAACTTGTTGACATGATCCAGACCATCTCAAAACATCATTGAGGTCAGGCTCTTGAGTGTTTGTGGGTTTTATCTTTAACCCTCTGGCATACACGTGGCTTAATAAGGCATCTATGCTACTACCTCTTGATCACCAGCTCCAGTAAGCACTATGTCTTCAAAGTACTGGACCAGCATGATGTGCACCCTGATTGTCATAATAATCAAGTTCCATTTACCCTAGATTATGACAATGAGCCAGAGCATAGACATAGCCCTGAGATAAGGCACTAACGTCAAGCTTCTGTTCCTGCCAGATGAAAGCAAACTGCTTCTGATAGTCTCTGCTGGTTGAGATAGAGAAAAGGGCACCTGTCAAACAAATTGCCACTTACCAGGTACTGGGGCTGTGTTGATTTGCTCTAGGAAAACATCATCCAGAATAGCAGCTTCATTTCAAGTCACAACCTGATTAATTTGACACTTACCCATTGTTCATCTCTAGGCTAACCAAGTAAGTTAAATGTGGATGCGATAGGAGTAATCACTCCTGCAACCTTCAGAGTGAACTCTTCTCCCTTCCAGACAAACCCAAGTTGCTTCTGCACGGTCATTCCTCCTAAGATTCTAGGGAGAGATGAACTCTTTATATTACAATTTTCATTTTCCTTTCATCCAGCCCCTTCCCAGCTTCTTTGCACTCCAGCCTGGAGAGAGGAGATACTTTACATAGCAAGTGGTTTTCAGCACCTGGATTCCTTTTGTGACTTCCCCATTTATTATTTATTTAAAACAGATTTGGTTTGGCAGTTCATTGAGTACTATAAATCTTATAACTAAAAGGATTCGTGAAAGTAAATGTCCACTATTATGGAAGAGTTTCTATTTCAGTTATGTTATGGTGGGCAAAGTGGCCATGCATCTAACTTATTCTCTGTGAAAAGAGAGAAAATTTTAAAAGAAAATGCCTCTCAATTTCTGGATCAGGGACAGACATGGGGAGACAGCTATACATGTATGTGAAAGGCCAATAATGAGGGAAGAGGGCTGTGTCTTCCTATATTCTCCACCTCCCACCCATCTCTTGTTCTAATAATCCATGAAGCACTTGCATTAAATGCCTCAACTGCCATGGTACAATTTTGGATAAAGAAACTCTTTGTTTCCGATATGGACATCTATAAAATGCTTCCCTGAGAGTGAAAGCAACCTAATTTCCATCTGAAGTATGAAATTTGACTTTCTTATTATCAATTTGAGTTTCTTATTATCAATAGTCTTTTTCATGTCTTATGAAAAATTCTGACATCATCTCCATTATTATATTTAAAACTATATGGCATTTTCACAACAGGTTTGCCACTAGAACACAGGTGTTGCTAAATCCAAGACAAAATGGGAAATAAAAGACTTGTATCAACTTCGTTGTCATTGAACATGTAGATTCAGGCAAATCCACCACTTCAGGCCATCTGATATACAAATGTGTTGGAATTAACAAAAGGACCACTGG